ATTTAAAGAGGACAAAATTTCCAAGAAATTAAAAAAAAAACGTGTCGATACGATTAATATAGCGGTATATTCACACTTTCTGCATTGCAAATCAATTTCAGTTTTAAGACTTACGCAGACAGTAAGTAATAGTACAATCTGCCGAGAATCTTAAAATTATACCAATAGCTTTAATATTCAACGTTCATAAAACTTATTTCCATGTTCGCACAAGTTATGAACCTTCTCGAGAATACAAACTCAAATAGATACATGTTATGCTTCATTGACAGTATTTCTAGACTGTTTTGGTTTACTATTTAGCAGCGCTACTAGTAAAGAACTCATTTTTTATTGGGCGCCATCGCATCCCACAGGCCACAGAAAGTCACTTTTTTTTCTGTTGGGCTGACTCGTTCTCTTGGCTACTGTTGAAAATAGCTAAAAAAATGTACATTTAGAGCACAACAATTTTAATAATTTAAGAGTTTGAAGTGAATTATAAAAGTAGTAGGCATGAAAATTCAGATATAACTAAGCTATCTTATCATCAAGAAAATATCGATGCTAATCTTTTACAAAACGGTACAAATTCAGGCAGTTTGATGATTCAATAGTTGGGCAGTTTTATAATTCACTTCAAACTCTTAAATGATTCAAATTGTTGTGCTCTAAATTTACATTTTTTTAGCTATTTTCAACAGTAGTTTCTGCATTTTCAATGACATTAATAAATTCAGACTTTAAATTATATTTTGGCACTTCCTCTTCAATAGATTTAATATTAAAATAAGGGTTTGCTTCTCTTGCTGGGAAAAATCATATGATAAATCATATAAAAAATCATATGATTAATCATGCCAAAACATCATATGATTTTTCCCATGATTTTTTTCAGCAGGGTATGCATGGCTTCGCTGTTTGTGGATGCTGCTTATGCACTGTCGAATCAATGTGAACTGTGTCTCGTGCGAAATTTGAAACTTGTTATACTTCGCGAGCGTTACTATTTTACTAAATAGATTGGTTTTTCCCCCTTGAAATTTACGACCAATAAAAGTGCATTATCACAATCTTTTAATTTTTCAACCAAAACCACTGAGGTTATAAAGAAATCTTGTAAGAAAGAATTGACTAATTAACGGTTAAATAAATAAATTAGCCATTGTACGCATGTACTCGAGCAAACGTCATAGGTAATCATCGACAAGTAATTACGAGCACGTTCGTACGGGGATGAGTTTTGAAAAATATTGCCAAAAGGGTTTTTCAAGTGTAATTAGCTTTCGTAAAATAGGGCTTATAAGCAGCTCTCGTTCTCTCTCTCTCTCTCTCTCTCTCGAGCTAATGATAAAATATGCAACGCGTCCCATTGCATGTGTATTTGTCATGTATACATACGACGTCCAATGACGCGATCATTACGCAAAATGAATTTGAAATTCCTCGTATGCGCAAACAAACGTCCGATTGTTAATGATGACATGGGCGAGAGAGCAAACAAGCTGCTGCAGCGGCACACGACCCAGTCTGTCATTACCAAGCATTGAATAATATATTATATATATACGTGCACGTCAAAGTAAACGTCAATTTATAAATCAAACCAATCGTGTGCGCTCATTTTTGTAGCGTTGCCGGGCAACGATGCTCGCAAGAAAAATACAGGAATAAGATGCAACGAAAGAAAGAGCAAAAAGAAGAGCTCGTCGGTTTATCAGAGTTATCGAGACGATTAATGGAGTGTTGCGCGCGTGTATATATAAAACGAGGATTAATCGGAATGCAGAGCGCGAGACATATTTGTTGAAAGCCAAACGCGCGCGTGTACTGCGGCAGGTTCACATGTACATCCGTCATTATCATCATTATCGGTCCAGTCGTGCGTCGTGTACCTATACACATCCCCAGCCTGTATGTGTGTTAGTACCGAGGCCAAAGCCACGAGTCCATATTCCGGTCTTCTCTAATGGTCAGCGCGCTGATTACACATTATTACCGATTGAATCGCGAGAACGCGAGAGCTACATTTACGACAGGAAAGGGATAGTTTAAGAGGGAGTATATACTCGATGATTCATACAAACGGCGATACAAGGTATCGAATTATCTTCGAATATATTGTCACGGCGAGAACATTTTCCGACGGTAAACTCGTTATTAGAACTTTTTAAAATATTGCTGAATTTTCATTGAAATATCAATCAGCAAATTAATCTTTCGTATATAAATAATGAATAATATCGATATTATCTTTTGATATACTCAAGAGTTCGATCAACGTAAAAAAAAGAGTGCTTTAAAGAACGTGTCGAATGTCTCACGGGGAAACTTGTTTGCGGTTGGAAGCAAAGAAAATAAACTCGCACGATTACTTTGCCGCAGCGATGCGAGTGTAAGATGAATATTCCTTCAATGATACATTTCATACGATATAATGTATCCTTCACTAGTGGAGCAATTCATAATTCCTTGCGACGCTCGTGAATGAATAAAATCGGAAACTCCAGCACTGTACGTCAGACGATCGCCAAAGCGCAAAGGAAAACAGTCGAGCTTCGCACACATCGTATCGACCGGTGGGGGTCATCTTGCCATAGATTTATTAATCATTTTGGTCAAAGTCCTTTGATCCCATCTGTATCTGTAGGTATCCGATGCGGCGCTTGGCCACAAGCATTGTCCGACTGCGGTTGAGGTTTCGCTTCTCTCTCTCTCCCTATACTCGATGTTTCCTCTCTGTACCAACAAATTATAATCAAGCTCGTCTATATCTATGCACCAACGGCGAACGTAAGTGTGTGCTGCTGCTGCTGCTGCTGCTGCTGCGTGTGTGGATATTAAGTACCTGCAACGTAGACACGAATCACTGTACAATAGACCTGCTGACCTGTGCTCGCACACGCGCGTACACAAACACACACACACCCAGGCGCGCGCTTCTGTCAAAGCAAAGCTCCGTACATAATGGGTCATCGATCTCTAGTGGACGCGCGAATGTCACTCGAAGATCTCGATACGGAATTATAAACTTATTTTTTTTTATTTTAATCAACCACGGTTTCCTTTTACTTAATCGCGTGATTATATCCTTATGTTAATTTTTTCCATATCGCGCCATTCGTGAGCCGCAACATGGCGATCCAATGGTTGCATAACACTTGAAATAAGCACGCAAAAAAGAAGAAGACGAGCAATTTACGTCGCTGCATTCTTAATCCACAGGTTTACATTTGTTGCGCGGCGAATATCTCATTTCCATATGCATAAATGCATATTGCATACATATTTTTCTCCGATTCGCTCGTATATACTTGCGCATCGAATGTTTCTCGCACGCATCGTACCGGGGCAACATTGCATTTGCATCGTTCCAACGCCACGGGTGCTTTTCCAACTTTGCGTCTATTCGCGCGACAAACGAAAAGAATAGTATGGATACCGATGCACACCCACACCCACAAAAAAAACATCTTTCGCGTGGAGGGCATGAATACATCGTGAGCGCGCGCCCTACCGCATATGCACGGCGCGCAGATATTGTGCGCGTCGCGTTTCCCCTTTGCGCCGCGGCGAAAGGTAGGCAGGTACTTCTTTATTTTCGATTCGCGCACGACGAAATTATAAAGCGGCCACTTTTGCGGTCGTGCAAATTTTCGAGTTTGCAATGCTGTCAACGGCACACAGCTATACATACGCCGCGCTGCGTACGAGTGAAAAAAGATGCGCGCGCGCTCGTATGCAGCGATGCAGAGAATGAATAAACATATTTACGACGCACGGAGTGACACGACGTGATATTGTTCGTTATACGTTGGAGGGTATAGGGAAAAAAATGTAATGCACGAGTTTACAACGCTTCGGTCTGATCGAAAGGCTGTGTCTAAAAAATAAAGGAAATATTTTCGACCTTCGACGAGCCGAGTGCTTTTTTGAGAAAATTACACGAACAAACACACGAGTTCACTAGAAAAAAATTAATGAATAATCGCCGAGATTCACGGGGCAGCGCTCACGTATAAATGGGAAAGAGAGAGGAAAAAATTGTCTTCCATGCGTACATACGAATAATTTTTTAATTACGCTTCGAAAAATTTTATCAAGCAAATTAGCATGGCTTACTTTGATCATTGATCATCGTCATCGCACTTGGGTTGGCGTTGTGTATGATGCAGGTCTACCGCCACCAGGCAGCGATTTTTTTTCACATTATGCCACGAAAGGCTGTGCGCGAAAAAAAGCAAACGTGCGAGTTCACTTTGATCATATCTTCGAGCTTTTTCATGTATCTGGCTCACATTGTATTAAAACGCGTGGATGGATCTGTGTATTTTCGTACTTTTCTCTCTTATATTTCGGTAAAGTAGTTTACTGTAGAGTATAAATGGGCGTTAAATGACTTGCGAGTGAAGAATCGACCGTGAAAGAAACGTGTAGAATTTCGGTTAATTAAATACATCTGATATGTATGTAGTGTTGTATATTTAAAGGAAGATAATTGTGGGAACGATATTTTTTTTTAATTAAAAAATAGCAAAAGAAAATTCGCAGAACTGTCAATTAACGTAAAACTAATTCAATTCCCAAACAAAAAAATCAAGTACGATACGAAAGGTGGGTGAACTTGTAATAATCAATTCAACTCTTTGCCGGTCATAACGACGGATGATAAACTGTTCAAAACATTTCCTACCTTAATCGTTATCGAGTTTTCAGAGTTACTTGAGTTCAACGATTTTTATCTATAAACAGTTCATCATCGTGATCGTTTACTTTAATTTTTTAATTAAAAAAATCATAGCACCAAAAACCGTAAGCCTCGGAAAAATTTAGCCAACAATTTTAATTGAAAAATATACGGCGTTGTACGAAAGAGCCCGCGTGTGCGCCGAAGGGGCGGTCGCAAGCTGCGCAGTAGCTTTCTGCAGGAGTCGCAAGCTCCGCGCGATATCGATCGGTTCGAATGCTGCTGCAGCTGCTGCTCGCTCTCTCTCCGATGCCAGTCCCATGCAGTGTGCATAGGTCGTAGACACGCCGAGACACTGCACTGCACTGTGTGCGTGCGAGGGTATGCGTGGCGCGATGTAGTTGCATCGGTGGAGCGCGCATAGTGCAGTCCAGCGGATGCACATCATCCCTCGTTGTATGTGTGTGTGTGTGTGCACTGCACCTATCTCTATCTCTGCAGGCAGTAGTTCGCCCCCTTACCACGCCCGGGTGTCTTTCCGAGGCTCTCTCCGCCAACTGCGGGGGTAGGCAGGACGACGGCGCAGGGCATCTTCCGCACGAAAATCCTTGAAAACCAAACTCAAAAAGATAGATTTAAGAGTCACGTTGGACATTAAAAGGATTTCGTGGCTCGGGTTCGACCCGCAGCACGATGCGCCCGGTCGTCGTAGTTTTCATCATCGAACTGGCACTCGTCAGTGCTCAAGGTAGGTTACAAAAAAAAGAATAATAAAAGAAAAGAAACAGCCCGAAACTTGCATTTGTTTCGATCCTTCAAGAGGTTGATGCATTGTTCGAATAAAATTAGCTAATTTGGAGGTGTCAAATGTCAAGTTTATTTACATTTGGAGGTGTAGCGCGATGCATTGTTTACCTTCGCTGAAAAGTATCCATGACTGATTCAGTGCTATGAGATTATAAAATTTAAGCGTTTTTATCATTTATAAATCAGTTAACAATCAACGGTATAATGAAAGTGCACTGAATTGTATCTTAACAACAGGACTCGTTCTCATAAAAAATGCCTAATATCACGTTACTCTTTCCAGGTTTACATCCCGAAATAAAAAGTTTCGAAGCGAATCCTGACACAAAGAGGCTGTACGATGATCTATTATCCAATTACAACCGACTCATTCGGCCAGTTATTAATAATACCGAGACTCTCACAGTTTGGCTGCGGCTCAAACTATCCCAGCTGATTGAAATGGTAATTACTCTCCTCTCCGTCTCGTGTAGCATGTACACACAACTGGCCGATCTCTGCAATTGCGCCTGAATTTAATGTGTGACGCTCGCGAAACGAGAATGAGGTAAGATAATTCTAATTAATTTTTTTTTTCTTGCAGAACCTGAAGAATCAGGTGATGACGACCAATGTATGGGTTGAGCAGGTAACAACAAAAAAACATCGAGCAGCTTATGGCTATTTTGTTTGAAAATACGAAATACAACACCTTGAAAATTACGACTCGAGCATAAAAGACTGCGCCTGTAACGTTAAGCGCACACGAGGCGCGCGAGCGCTTTATGCCAATTAGCATTCGATTAAATTTAACGATTCGCATTACGCTCGCGCTTAAACTTTGCTTCGACGGCTTCGTGAAATTATAGCAGTGCGCGCGTTGTTTCGTTTTCGCGTCGGGAAAGCGGTAGAACAAAATTATGTAAAAAACACGAGAGAGCGCGATAAGAAAACATGGTTTTTTGATCGTTGTTGTTTTCTTTTTCTCTTTCTCTCCTTGCCTCGGCTTGCAGAAATGGTTCGATTACAAGCTGCGCTGGGATCCGGAGGAGTACGGCGGCGTCGAGATGCTCTACGTACCGTCGGAGAATATATGGCTACCAGACATCGTCATGTATAATAAGTGAGTATCAAAACTCGGACGCAGCGCACACGTGTAATGTATGCACACAACCGACCGCCAGAAATTTCTGATTTACGCGCACGGATGTGTAAGGGAGCGATTTCGAATAAAATAAAAAAGATGCAAAGGGAAGTTCTTTTTTTTTCTCTTTCGAATTTATTAACTCGACGACCCGCGGCCACGGACGATTACTCTTGTTAATGTTTGAAACTGCTTTGCATAGTAATCACTACTGTTGCGCCGTGCCTCTCCGAAACTCGTGTGTCTGTGCGCGCGCCCCGTGATGTGATTGAGTTGTGAGGCATAATTCACGGTTTTCATATAAATATTATAATCGATCGGTGCAAAAGTAAGAGGGATATAATTTGCGGATACGCGGCGGATAAAAACAAATTTCGTTAGTTCAACAGCTCCTTTTTGTAAATTAAAAAAAAAGATGTGCGCGCGTGTTTATTTTACTAACTGATATCCGTTGATTTATTCGATAGTTTTTTTCGTGCCTCGCGTGCATTAGAAATACTTAATGATAGGATGGCCATGGGTCGTGTAGCACTCGAACGGGAGAGTAACATATTAGGCTGTAATTTGCGCGCTCGGAGTTTGTTCATCAATTTCGCGTGTGTGTGTGTATGCGATCGACGAAAAGAATTCGAAAATCGCGCACACAACCTTCCATTACGGGATCCAACAAAAGGCAAACGATGCCTGCCGCTTTTCTTCTGCCAATATAACGAAATTTTAAATTATAATTCACACGCGTATTATGCTGCACACATACGCGAGGAGTTACACGCGTGCTGGGCAGGCCAACGGAACATCAACACTTCAAAGTCCTCCAGTGTACACGACTGGATACGTGTATCAACGATTCCCTATAATTACGCTATTCGGGCAAAAAAATGAATCGTTTTCGTCCATTCATCTTTTTGGGCTCTCTTTCTCTCTCTCTTTCTCTTTCTTTTCTTTCTCTATACGCACATCCTCGAGGCGACTGCAGCAGCAGCGACTTTACACGGAAAAAAATAATCTTCTCCTTTTATCCGAGCGAGACTTGCTCGCGTGTGCATTACACGCATTACATTTACATTGCATACATATAAACTGAATACACGTTGTACCTGCTTCGCAGCGCCGACGGCAATTACGAGGTGACGTTGATGACCAAGGCGACTCTGAAGTACACGGGCGAGGTGTCGTGGAAGCCGCCGGCGATTTACAAGTCCTCGTGCGAAATAAACGTCGAGTACTTTCCCTTTGACGAGCAGTCCTGCTACATGAAGTTCGGCTCCTGGACCTACAATGGCGCACAGGTATATGTGGCGGCGTGTGACACTCGAATCAATCAAACGTATATTTTACATTTAACGTATGCGGATCTCGCTGCGCGCAGGTGGATTTGAAACACATGGAACAAGTGCCTGGTAGCAATCTCGTTGCCACGGGAATTGATTTGAGCGACTTTTATCTGTCGGTCGAGTGGGACCTGCTCGAGGTGCCGGCATCCAGAAACGAGGAGTATTATCCCTGCTGCAAGGAACCCTATTCCGGTACGCAATTTTCATCGCGGATATTATATAGGATAGCGAATTCACGCGTTGTTGCGTCGTTTTGCAGACATAACGTTCAACATCAAGATGCGAAGGAAGACGCTGTTTTACACGGTGAACCTCATCATACCCTGCGTCGGCATCACGTTTCTCACGGTGCTGGTGTTTTACCTGCCCAGCGACTCGGGCGAGAAGGTGTCGCTCTGCTCCTCGATCCTCCTCTCGCTCACCGTGTTCTTTTTGCTGCTCGCCGAGATCATCCCGCCGACCTCCCTGGCCATCCCTCTCCTGGGCAAATATCTGCTCTTCACCATGATGCTCGTCTCGCTGTCCATCTGGATAACCGTGTGCGTGCTCAACGTGCACTTCAGGTAACGTATAGAAAACGATCCAACGATAGCGAGAGAATTAAAAAAGAAATAAGTGGATTTCTTTGAACGCGACAGATCACCGACGACGCACAACATGTCGCCCTGGGTGAGGAGCTTCTTTTTGCACTGGATGCCTCGTATGCTAATGATGAGGCGCACCCCCTACTCCCAGCCCGAGTACGACGACACTTATCTCGATAGCGGCTACACAAACGAGATGGATTTCAGGTAATTATATTCTGCCCCGCTCCTGCTGCTGTAGGCCCTTCATATTATCACTCACCGTACATACATGCGTGCACGCGTAAGCGAGCAGCTTCCAGTCTCTCTCTCTCTTTCTGTTTTTCTACCTTTAATTAGATGCAAGTTAAAAGTCTCGCCAACAACATCGTTCCTTTTTTTCGCTCGTGCTAATAAAAAATGCCGTTAATATCGTGCGTATGATAAATTACGAGCGGAAAGGTAAACTCGTACGCGTTCGCGCGCGTGTCGACCAATTATATAGGCCCAGGACGATCGCACACGGGCACTGCTTACAGCGCCTCGGCGTTTCCTCTCGCGCCATTTAATTATTCGGCAAATAAAAAAAATGCAAAGCTCGCGAGACATTTTTTCTCCTTGCTAATCTCGTGCGAACTCGTGCTTTTTCGGGCTCCATTTTTTAATTACTACGTACTCTAGTTTTTCTCTTTCTCTGTTTTTCATCTTCACTCGAACGCTTGAATTTTTTTTTTATGTTCACCGATACTTGTAAATAATCAGCAGCTTTCGAGACAGTATAAGCGAGTACCAGTCCGAGTCCAAGGAGAGTCCCAACGGCTTCGAGAGCGTCACCGTGGCCTACAAGAATATACGGGAGGAGGAGATACGACACGCGCCACACGACTCCAGTGAGTATCAATATTTGCGTCAAAATAATTATCATTACTCGTATGATCTTTGTACAAAAATTGCTCTGACACTTTTCGACTCGAGCGATTCTTAAACGTGATTTATGATATTGTCGCTATTTTGATGCGTACTCGATGTTAATTGCCTTAATAAAATTTTGCATTTGGAAAAGAGATAAATCAACTAGAATTTTTTTTCATTCCTCCACAGTAACGGACAGCGAAAACATGATCCCGAGACATTTGTCGCCGGATATCATGACTGCTCTGCAAGGAGTGCGTTTTATTGCTCAGCATATCAAAGACGCGGACAAGGACAACGAGGTGAGTTTTGTAACTTTTTCAGTTTTATTTCGCTGTAATGTAATCACATAGAATTGCTGCTATACTCAATCAAAAATAATTTGGTGAACATAAAAGTTACTCCGTGAAGTCACCCAAGGAATGATGGTGCGAAATGACGCTAAAATAATTTATTGTTAAAAAAATCCGTTTTTTTTTTTAATTTTCTCTGCATGTTAAAGTATAATTTTCATAGATACCATACAAGTTTTTATTGGACTCAAGCCAATACACATGTCAGGTCATTTTACATGTAAACTCTAATCCACTTGTTTCAATTTTCGATATATGTCGATAAATGCATTCGCTCTTAAAAATATGCTTCATTTCATTATTATTTACGATTCACACCTATAATACATTTCATTTTCATGCAAAAAAAAATTAATTTACTTTTATTGTAACAGGTAATAGAGGACTGGAAATACGTTGCCATGGTATTAGACAGATTATTTCTGTGGATCTTCACGCTGGCGTGCATAATAGGAACCGCGGGAATAATCGGACAAGCTCCAAGCCTTTATGACATGAGAGAGCCGATAGATAGGCAGCTTTCGAGCATACCCCTGCGCAAGGGTAACTATATGCTTCCTCCTCAACCATTTTTCGATAAACCTAATTATTGATGGAGAGAAAAAAATAAGGAAAAACTAAACCCGCACAATTAAATTAAAGCGTCATCATCCAATGCCAAGAAATGTCAAATTTTGCATTTTTTTTAATTTTTCTGAGTGAAAAACGCACAAAAACTTGAAAAAAAAGAAGAGCCGACTTAGAAATTTCAAGATTTCTTGTACGAATTTCAGAATTATAGTTATATATATATATCTCAATACAAACATGTATAATCCTAATTAATTATAAATTACATATAATTAAACAGTAGTAAACGAAACTTAATTATCCTCACTTTTTAATTCTCCTGATTCTTAGCTCAAAATTTTAAAATCAGAACCGTCGTTACAAAAGTTAATATTCAATTGAAACTGTATCATATTTTTATGTCAAGACTTCTCTTTGAAAATTTTGATTAGGATAGTTGTGAGAGAAAATATTTAGTCTCCGAATCAAATACTTTGAGTATGAATCTGGCAACTTTAATCGCTTAAATTGCAGTATTTAAGAAAAATCGCATAGCGATCAAAATTTATATAAATTTTCTTCTTTTATTCTAAACTTTTAACCTAACTGTACACTTATTTTACACTTTCTTCATCTTGCCTTGATGAAACGTAGATCGAGTCTCATTAATCTAATCAATTACCTAGCCAATGGAAATCAAATATTTACTCTAAATCGATGATCATTAGTTCTGGATAGTCGCTGGTACTACTTATTGCACTAGTTTGCGGTTTTGAGGGAGAAGAAAGAGCCATTTTTTTGTTGGAACTTGTTATAACACTTTCTTCGTCATCGCTGCTGTCTGATATCAAATCAATTACTTCTGCAGTACGTTTCTTGTCATTTGGAGCTGGAGTTGAAGGAGCAGATTCATCTGTAATAATTAGAAATTATAAATCATAAATTCAATTTGAACAAGGTAACATATTTCTACATGGAGAAAAAAGTCACCGAGCAACAATTGTTGCGCTTTGGTTACAGATCATAATTAAAGAAGAGAATGAAAAAGTCCAAATCTGTAGCCAAAATAGCAACCTTCAAGCATTAAAATGTATGAATGCGAAGCGGTTGTCTCGAAGTTTTATTATAATTATAAGTAATATAATAGCTAATTACCAATTTCAAGAGTTACATCAATATCCTTCTTTGAATGACTTGTGTTTGCTTCATGTTTATCTTTACAATCTTTTTCTTTTTTAAGAACAAGATTTTCCCAAGAACCATCTTGAAGCAATTGAATTTCATTTACATCAGGCAATAATTTGTTTGAACTAAGTACTTCTTGGAAGTATCCGTCAATCGTAAGATTATCGTATAAAGCAGGTTTATCACAAACAGGACAGTGCCATGTTGCTTTTCTTTCATTCATTTGTAAAAATAATGATGCATCAAAGCATTGTAAGTGATAACATGTTGAAGCACGACATGGAGTAGACATTCTCATTTTTCCTAAAGGACAAGCCAGTGATACTCTTAATGATGTTGTCGCTATTTCACTATCTGCATCTTCACACAACTTTTCTTTGACTAAAAAGAAATTATAATAAGGCAATAATTCAATGAAATTTCAGATGTATTTTTTATGAGAATGAATAGCGCACTTAATCCTCGGGTATAGTCCGAATGTTTCACTCCTTTACTCTTCATTCTTTGCAGCAGTTCAGAAGATGTTAATTTTCGCACAAGATAAATACCAATTGCATATCGTCTACCATAATCAGCAGCCCACGATACTGTTACTGTATTAGCTACTGTAGGAGATAATTTTACCAATTGACTGATATTTACAGGTCTTGGAGGCCTTTTTGGTTCAACACCAGGTTTATTCGTGGGAACAAGATTCTAGAGATTTATGAAGTAATTATGGATCAAATAAATTTAAATATATCAATTAACATGTAGTTAAAACCTACTGGTAAACCGCAGAGCTTATTGTTAACTTTGACCGTGCAATTAGGTGGAAAATTGTCCTCTTGCTCGCAAGAAGTTTCTTGTAAACAAAATCTCAATTGCACTTGAACAACATAATCCATTTTTACACCTTGTCTGCAGTCACGCGAAGAAGCAATATCTGTGGCTTGTTGAGGGGTGAGGTGAAACACAAATGTCTGTTCTTGTTGTCTTGTATTGTGATTAGGTGTTAAACTTGATGGCTTCATTAGTTCTCCGAGAAGATCATAAAATGGTAACCTTTTGAACTTCACATCTGGATGAACAGGATATTGCGGAGGTGCCACTGGCATAGGAGCTGTCAGTGGAATTCCTTTTTGTGCGGCATATGGGTAAGGTTGATAAATAGTACTTCCAGCCCTCTGCTAATGATTAAAATAAATCAATATTCTTATTAAAAATTTTTCTAAATTATTTATCAACTTTTACTAATTATTTATAAACTATTATTAATTATCAATAATTTCCAACTACTATACATTTGAAATAAAATTAATATTAAATTTTCCATATAAGTGCTTACCTGGGGTGTAACATGTGTATATCCTGGAGTTTGATAAATGGAAGTAGTTCTTTGAGTAACAGCAGAATGCGGTATTGATGCTTGATGAGCAGGAGGTAAGTCTTTAGCTTGAGCTTGCTGACTCATGGCTTGGGCATGGTTTTGCCTAGGATCAACAAAATTGGACCATCTATAGTTACATCAATATGAGTTTTAGTAAATTTACATGCTTTCAAGAACTGTCTTAAAAGTTTGTTCTAAAACAAGCTTAATCGTTTGAGGTTATAATATGCACTACGTTTGTACCGTAAGATAATTTTACTTATTTAATATTTTTTAGTCTATTTGATTGCTACCTTGTAAAATAGTTTCGTGAATGCATGTTTGGATCTAGTTGTGGAGGATCAATCGGACCCCCACTAGGAGCATACATTTGATGAGTAACTTGTTGTTGATCGCTTCTGCAAATGTCATTGATGTAATGAATGTTTTTCTTTAAATGAGATGAAACATGGACGTTATTTTTAAATTAAACTCTCTTACTGTATATTTTGATAAAGTTCTCTGATTTTCGTTAAGATTGGATGAGATCTTGACCTTAACAATTCCAGTGCACGTTGCTGAAGTTCAGTTTTTCTACCTGATTTATTTCTTCCAGCATATCCCAAAAGAGTCTGTAGTTCAGATACTCTGAAGCTCATTACCATATTCTACAAAATAAAAATAAATTAGGAATTATCAACTATATTTGAAATATTCAATGTATTGAAAAAGATTAATAATTAAGATAATTAACCGATTATGAAAAAAAATTGTAATCCACTTTTTATTAAGTGAAATACTGTATATAAGGTTTGTGTCATAAAAAAATTTTAATATGATTTTAATTTAAAAAACTTTGAAAAAAAAAAAAAACTACAAATTAAAGTTCAATTGAACACTTTCAATGTAATAAATTTCGCGATATATTAAAAAGTTCATTTCACTGTGAACCTAACCCTAATTTCGAACCAAATACACAGTGGTACATAGTGTCAACAAAAAAAAATCATGTTACAAAACAGTATCTAACCTCTTAATTGATCCATGTTGACAATCGCAAATAATTTGCAGCTTTTGATTTTGCAACGAATGCAAATAATTCAAACACAAAAATTACTGATAAAAAATCAGTACATAATGATAATAAATCAAGGGTATCACGCGTGATAGGAAACTACTCAGTGGTCGAATTATACATTGATCTAACACAACTAAAAGTGAAAGAACACTGTTGTTGACTTACAGCTCCATCCGTGCCCTAACGAGACACTTGCAACTACGTTAACGTCATACAAAAAATTGGGCGTCAATCAATTCATCAAATCCGCAAATTTGAAAAAAAACTGATTGATCGGCAAAAATTTTGAGTTCTTCTTAATAGGTACTACGAAAATATGCTCATTTGTACCGTACAAGTATTATTAATTGCGAAAAATTTTGAAGTAAAAAAATGAAATGTTTATTTTTAAAATTACGTTTAATTTTTTCTACAATTGCATGGTTGAACGCTACAGTTTTATACTATAATTATTAACAATACATACATTTAAAAATAAATTCAAAACTTGATCATCAAGTAGTTTGACTGACCGTTTAAATTGTTTATAAACTAACAATTTCAAGCATGTTGGAAAATTTTTTAAAAGCGCTTGTCTAAAATCAGAGCAGCTCCGATACAATAATAAATATGTACTCACCTCCATTTCTTCAACTTCGGACATTTTTTCTAGTGCTTCCTGACTGAATCGAAGAAAACAGTTAACGAGTTTTTATTTCAAGCTAGATACATCAAGTGTATCTTAACCTCAAAATGATAACGAGATCGATCCGGACGACGATGCTCTTATCAAGGTTTTTAATGAGCCTAAAAACTTGACTGATCGCACGGTCGTCACACTAACATTTGTCCAACTATGTCACAATGACACGCACACAAGCCGCCAAAATGATCGCTTCACTTTTCACTAATCGAACGAACACACATTCTCTGGACGCTTTAGAATCAATGTCAAGGGGCCCAGGCTCATCCAATAATCCCGCCCTTCAATTGAACAATCGCAGCGCACTCTTGCCAATGTTCAACAACGACGACGAGCATGTCAACAGTTGAACAGGACAATCGGCGCTCTCATTTATTATGCCGTACGTGTCTCAACAGGCTAACGAACTTCTCGAGCCGCTAAACCCAGGCGTGCTCTTTACGCCGTAATAATGCAGAAAAATTGTTTTTGCGGCTGCAGCAAGAACTTGAGCGGCGATGAGTTCAACTTTCGTACGGCGACCCAAGTGTACGTGACTGCTATCGTGGTGGGGTCTCCATGCAGACTGCTGCCTCTCGCTCGCTCTACACACCGAGGCTCGTATATGCACGAGCTAGTCGAGTAGGTAATAGAATGTGCGTGTGTGCATGCGACGTACGTGTGTGTGTCTGACTTTGCCGCTATGTGATGCTTTGATTCTGCTATAAGGGATTTTTAAACATGGCTGCGGTGGTATAGAAAATGCTAGTTCCACGGGGGTGGTCTCAGCTACGTTTTTCCGCAAATCGCGACCGAACGAACGACAGTTTTATGTCTGAATAATGTGACATTCTAACGCTGCAGAGCAACGCCACGTGGTTGATAAACTTTTTGCAGATTAATTGTTTAATTTGAATTTTCCACGCCGTGTTGAGCGGTGAAATGGCCCCCCTCCACTCCGAGACCAACGGCCAATGGGAGTCTTAGCCCAATAGCATGATCGATTGACACGTAACGGTTTTCCATTGTATCACGAAACTGATTCGACGCAGCCAAATCGATATCATTTCCCGTTTCTTTTCTATGGGACATTAGAAAATGTCATGCTCTAATGGAAAAATACTGCATTGGAATCACTATGAAAATCACCTAATATGTGCGAAAACTTGCACCGAAAAAATTTTCCTTATCAGTACGAACTTCGAACATAACTTTTTACGGAAACCCAACATTTTGTCTAGATTTCAATATCATAAAAAAATTTAATTTTCCTTTCTATCAAGTCTTACCTATGCAGTTCTCAATCGTTTTTTTGTTTCAGCGAAGTGCATGAATTAGTTAATAAATTAATTCGTTTCATTTTCAACAATATCGTAATGATTGTCGAGTCGTAAAGACTTACAGGAGCTATTTTTTTTTTTATAAAATAACGTGCTTTTAAAATCTCTATTTACATTGCTTGATTAACAATAAGTTCTGAAGAATGTGGTTCCCGAAAGAGGTTTCGAATTTCATTTCGTAGTATGAAACAAAAAATTCAAGTTTTAGAATACCTTGTAAAATAACACGCAAAAAAAGTAAGTTTACTAAGAGTTGCCTCGAATTTCCGACAGGGATGAGAAACATTAAAAATTCAAAAATTACCGAGATTAGGATGATAATTTCAAAGAACCGTAAAAGGGATTTTGCACTTTTGCATAATTAAGGCTCGATCAAAGCGAGTTAAACATTTAAAGTTCAGTTCATGAATTAGAAATTGCCTGAAGTGTTATATTATCTTCACCTGATAACTGATTCATGATTTTTATGATTAGCTACTACCCTTGCGCTTGACCAATTGCTTGTAATCAGTGAGCTTGAATTTTGAATTCTTGATATTCTATCATTATTTCGATTTATCATCGATCAATTTTCCTGTTGAGTTAATTAACTAAATTTAATGTATCGATAACTGCATCAGTTCGAGTCAATACATAAAAGAGATAACGACGTGAAGATATAAAGCTGCAAATTTTTAATCGCGTTTTCCGAGATTTTCACTGAACCTTTTTATTCAACAGTTACATGAATTTTTTCATTTTGTTATTCTGTAGACATTAAAGTAGCTTTTTGAATAAATACACCGCGGAAATAGTGTTTGGAAATTTTCAGCTTTACATCAATTTCATTGTTAGTGATGAGAACGCTCAATGTGTTATTACTGTAAAATTAATGACCATAAATATGAATCGATTGCGGTTAATTAGTTTAAGAACTAACGAAACCAAGGTTTCAATGAAACATTTCAAACATTTTCCAACGTTTCCAGTGAATATTTTGTGAAAAAATTCCATGAATGTCTGAATCATAGCAAAATGAAGACGTTCATCTCTAGTTATATCGAAAAATATTTTTTGGGAATCTCAGAAAACATGAAAACTTGTGAATTTTACATTAGCTTCCATGCCATCTTAAAAATAAAAAGGGGTTTTTTTCGAAAGAATTTTATTTCATTATTTTCAACTTTATATTGATAACATTATCAATGACAACATAACTAATTAGTGACTGCGCATAACTGGAAATGCATTCATAGCACTGAATGCGAAGATAAAAATAAAATCTAATTACAATGTGATGAATACACAGGAATTACAAATTTGGTATTAACTTTATAATGATATAACTTATAAACAGTCAATATTAAAAATAAATTTCCCGTGAATAATGCTCTTAATATTAAAGTTTTGAAACTTCTCGTAGTTACAAAATCAGTCTTTTAAGTACCAATCAACAAAATTTAACTACAATATTTACGTTGCAGATATCAAAATTTTTGTAATAAAACATATAGATTCTTAGTTTAGGTTTGTTCATTATAACGAATAAATACACTAATCATACTCCTCTCCATAATCAGATCCATCATCGTAATCATTATCATCGTCTCCTTCATCATTCTGTCGAAGAAGGTGACCGATGCCTATTTCTTCGCCATCTTCGCCATCTGCCTCTTCTTCGGCTTCATCATCCAAATAATCACCATCTTCGTCTTCTTCAACTAAAAATAACAATTTTTAAATTAATAATATGAAAAGGTTTATTTTATGGTAAATATAAATATACAAACCGATTTCTTTCTCCGGTGTTCCTGGTGAAGGCATTCCATTACAGAAAGTAACAGGAGTACATTCGTCTGATGATGAGGATGCTTTACGTTTTCTCGAAGGAATTTTAATACTTGAAACTATCTTATTGTCAATTATTTTTGGAGTTCCTTTTTTCGGACTGCAAAGAAATAAACGAGATTATTGGTATGCTTAAAAACGCAGAGTACTTGAAAAATTTTTTTTATTAAAAAGTACTTACGACATATTCGCCTCTGGTGCGACAAATTCAACATCTTCAACTGTTTGATTTTTATCAATGAATGCATTAACTTCGCTATTTAGATTTTTTAATACTTCATAGTTAATTTTTGTTGAAATTTTTTTTTCGAATAACATTTTTTCTATGGCTTCACCTTTAATAAACAAAAAATGTTAAATTAAAATGTAAATATCGTTCTATTTTTATTACTTATTCGAAACAACTTTATAAGCATACCAGCACTGTTAGCCGTAGTTTGATTTTTCTTTTTTTTAGTAGTTCTTCTTCTTTTCTTTTCTGGTTTACCTTCTTCAATATCTCTTTGACGTTGCTCTTCTTTTTCTGAAAATAAGTTAATAATTTTGAATATTACGATTCAAAACATTACTAAAATTATTTAATAAATACCTTGCTGTTCTTTTAAATATTTTTCATTTACTCTATGCCACAGTGAACTTTTGAATTCAGCTTCTTTTTCTGACATTATGTAGTTATCTAATTCTGCATCATCGATGTCTGTTATATCAATTTCTCCTTCTTCCATCTAAAAAAAATTGATTAAAATAAAATGAACTTTTTTAGAAAAATTTATTCAAAACTTACTTCTTCAAATGGACATTTCTCTGAATCTTTGTTTGCCTCATCTGTGTAAAATGGTCTGTCTAAACCCATTGCAGCGATATCGGGGCCGAGGCCAGTTTCTAGTACTTTTTCCGGCTGTTCACTAATCCCTTCGACAGATTCATCGATATCGTTTATGACTATTTCTCCAAGTACGTTTAAATTTTGTTCTTTCACAAATAGATCTGCCGATTCTTCTATCGATAAGGAATGTTTTCGAGATTTGATTTTTTTCGATTTTTCCAGCTCTCGATCAATTTCGGCTTGAAGTCCTGAAAGTTCCTGATTCATATCCTCTACATTTAGCTAAAAGTTGAAAAAAAGTTTATATATTTCTTTTCTGCTGCTTTAAATACTGTTCGATTTTGTCATTTTCGGTTGTTTGCTAAAAAAATTAATTCTTACCTTTTGCAATCGCTCTCTGTCCTTTTTTCTTGATGCTTTAAATGATGGCGGATCCGCTTCTGATTCTACGTTAATTGTCATGAATTGTTCCAAAGTCAAATCGCCCGAATCAGTTTCACCGAATTCGAGTAATCTGACAATACAAAAAAGTTGTTGAAGAACTATTTGCTCGTTAAATAAGTATTAAAATATATTAATCATCTTTTACCTTTTACGAAGGGTCGATTCATGAATCTTGACGATTTTAACAATATCACTTGGAGTTCGGTTAAATTCGTGCAATCTGGCAGCCATTAATAAAGCTGTAAAAAAGCAATTGTAGACACATTAAATATTATGATTTCTTTCCTTAAAACTGCGATAAAAAATATTTACCGGCTCCGCAAAGACCAGATGGCCTACGACCGGTGTGGATAAAATCCTGTTTCATTCTTCTCACTATGCGCATTGCAGTCTCTGATACCTTGTCTCGTTCTGTTCCCAATTCTAATTGTCCAGAAAATCGATAGATAAAAAAAAGAGGATCTGAAAAATGATTTAATTTCCAATATTTATTCTGAGAAGAGTAAAACATAGTGTAATTCAATTATCGTGTTGTGGTTATCAATAAAGCACACAATTTCGTGATTTTTTTTTGCCGTCTTATAGTTTAGACAAAGTATACTAAGAATAACTAAAAGTTTTAAATTGAAATTTTCAACACAATTTCAAATAATTTTCGATCAATTAATCACCAATAATTAATGATTACTCTCAAATGTTCAACATAAGCTTTTAACATGAAAGTAATGAAAAGAAAGCATCAGTTCTGCTTTTGTTATGTATAATCGTCAGTCTCATCTTTAAGTTACGAGCGGATGTGGAAAGCTCGCCATCTTAACCGAATTAGTCCAAAAAGCTCTGAGCCAATGGCCTTTCGCATATGCATACCGTGCAGCACACAACTATCGTACTCCTGAAATTTCGCCCTTTTTATAATTCCTTATATAGCGTAGCTAAGGGCCAAACTTCAGCTGCGCACCTCGTTCGTGCTCGCGAAAATTTCTGCGCGCGCACACACACTCGCACAGTGAAATTTTTGCACGCAGAAAGTCGCGCACGCACACGGCAACGAAGCGCACTTGGAGGCACAGTCGAAAGCTCGAAGTCTCCGAAGCCGCACATCCTCCCCCGTCTTTTGTACAATATCGTCGTTGTGGACAGTTGAGAGGCAACAAAAAGAAGCAGACAATAAAAGAGTGCTCGAGTTTTACCGAATTCTCAAATCTGGAGGATAACGCGAGGGAAAAGCTGGCGTCTTCTCAACAGCATCAGCAGCAGCAGGAATCAGGCTGTGCTGCTACGGCAGCCGCGGCCGCTGCTGCTGGGGCAATGGCCATGTCCGGCCTCTACTCGAAGCTCGCGACAAAGCCCTGCAAGAGGTTTCAGGACAACATCGCCTGCAGCCAGACCAACGCCTGGGTCAATGGTAACTATGCAGAATCATCTCGTGCATATACAGTCATGGCATATTAAAAAAAAAGCTCTCGCGCGCGCGGAGCTTTCGGAGAAGCGGCCGGTGTCTCTCGCGATACGTGCAATTATTACGTCATAGGTGTACCGTCGATTTTTCCATTGTCCTGACTCGACATTATGAGCTCTCAACGATATGTATGCCCAAAAGCCAGTTCTTGTTTATTCGTGTATAGGTGTATACTGCTCGAAGCTGCGAGTGCTGCGCTCGGTAGGAGGGCAGAGAACACCCCCTTCGCTCTCGCGAGAGTTCGTTCACCGACCGCCGACCGACCCCTTCCACCGACAACGCTCCTCTCGTCTCTCCCAATTCTCGCGGATTATTCTAAAAATAAACGAACTTGTTCTCGGGTGAAAATCAATTTCACTGCGGCAGAATGTGTAGCTTGTACGCGGCGCGACAGGAAAGATTTTTCAGGAATAATTCGTTTCGACGTGCAGTTTGTGGTAATTCGGTGCGCGAGGATCGATTTAGGGCTAGGGTAGGCGCAGAGGTGCGATCTGCTTTCGCGGTGGTTGTCGTTCGGATGATTTAGTAAGAAATAAAAATCGTCGATGTTTGATGGAAAATCCTACGGGTCCATTTGGCGTTAATTTTCATCGAGAAGTAGAATCAATATTTATTACGAATGAATACCCTAACGCAGTGTCACATGGTATGAATTTTTTTTCTTATCAATGGTGCACTCGTGCTTGATAATAATTTTCGTCTGAAATGAAAATTATCTCGAGAGCCTGATGCTCTCCGAGCACGCTTGCGATTCCCTCTCTGCACCATGCAGAATGTTTGTGTGTGTGTGTGTGTGCAGAGACCAAACATATAAGGGAGAGGCGGCCAGTTGCGCGCGCAGCGCAAAATTGCACTCATACAAATAGAATAGACGCGGTACACACGCAACACATACACTATGCGGATATGTGCGTGCACCGTCAAACAGCTTGGACTATCTCTCTCTCTCACTTTATATCGCGTGTAACGTCGTCATCGCTATTCCATAAACACGATATAGGAGCAAGAATCTACTGTTCTGCTGGGTGCGCATAGTCTCGCTCTCGCCCACATGCATTCACATATTTATCAAGAGGACATAAAGGTTGGCCAAAGATGCGTACGGTTCGCATCGACGTGATCCTTGGCCATTGCCATAAGTGACCTCGGCAATTGCGAGAGGGAAAAGGATCGAAAAAAAGTCACGAAGGTTGGATGATCAGTGCTGAACGCGAAGTAATGTCATCGAGCGACGTTCGCGCGTCCACCTCGTCCGCTCGCACTGCTGCTGCTGCTGCTGCTGCGTCCTCGCCGTCGTCCAGTCGGAGGAAAACTAGTGGCAGTAACAACAACAACAACAGCGAGTCGTCGCGCAAGCGCGATATACTGCACCAGCATCATCAACATCAGCAGCAGCAGCAGCCCTGCCCTGATAACCAAATCTTCAACGACGGTATATATAGTACAGTATACATATAGCGAATTAACCTACATATGTCATATATATCCTTCTGCTAACGTGCACGCGCAAAGCCCTCGCACATCTGATGCAGCACAGCGTTGTGTGCATGTATACTTATATACAGTTTACACGTTCGGCCTCGCGCATCGCTCGCTTACTCACTGCCTGAGTGCCTGCCTCTGCCTAGTACCTATGATGCGTTTGAGCTTCAGTCGCAACGTAAACGCGATACGTCGACGACGACGACGACGATGTTGTCGCGCGACGTCGTTGCAATTTTAGACGCGTGACGGTATGTACCTTTGATCCGCAAAATTATCCTCACTGCTATGTAGAAAAAGTGCGCGGGGAGTTTTCGTCGAGTAAAAAAAGTGACATAAGCCATTGCGAGGCTGAATCATTACGGTAGTAGGGCAGGTTGCGCTAGAGCGAGCGCAGTAGTGGCGAAGATGCTGGGGGTCATCGGGTCCCGTAGACGCTTGAACGACGGAAAGGGATGTTCGGAAAGCTCCAACGGTCTGTCTCTTGTACACGATTTCACTCTATTTTTTTTTCGTCAAAACACATAAAATAACGGGTAAATAAAGTGGAGTTTAAAAAATGCAAAAATTTTTGTCAACAGCAGAATCACCGAGTACATTGGCAAGCTCACCCCCGACGCTCAGTCCCATCTCATCGTCCATAGTGCTGCAGCGAGAGGGAGTCATAAATCAGCCATTGAGTACACCAGTCTCGCCACTGTCGTCCATAGCGTCTCCGATAACACAAAATTTCAATATACTTTCACTGGAGGACTGCACTCAAGATCCTAACTGGCAGGCTACCAAGCCTACGATAAGAGAGCGAAATGCTGCCATGTTCAACAATCAACTTATGGCTGACATTCAGTTTATCGTCGGGAGTCCAGGTAAAAATAACTTGGACTATCATATTAGACAAAATCTAGTTGATCAAGAATTGTTCGGTAAAGTTACGTAAAATGTATAATTTTAGGCCATACACAAAACATACCAGCTCACAAGTATGTGCTAGCCACAGGAAGCTCGGTGTTCTATGCCATGTTCTATGGGGGGTTGGCAGAAAACAAAAAAGAAATAGAAGTGCCAGATGTAGAACCTGCTGCATTTTTGGCTTTACTTAGGTAAATAATTAATAGCTGCAAGAAATCATCAGCGCTTGTACCGTGATCGGTCAATAATGAAAGAAATCTTAATTTCAGATACATGTACTGTGATGATATCAAGCTGGAAGCTGATACAGTCTTGGCAACTCTGTATGTGGCAAAGAAATACATAGTGCCGCACTTGGCGAGGGCATGCGTGGCTTTTTTAGAAACTTCGTTGAACGCAAAGAACGCCTGTTTACTATTGAGCCAGTCGCGATTGTTCGAGGAGCCGGACCTGATGCAACGATGCTGGGAAGTGATCGACGCTCAAGTAAGTAATAGCGAAGCGAAAAACAGTCATCAACAGGGCCGTCGTTGCACGTGCCATACGTCCGCCATCAACTACGCGGACTACGACGACTCGTCGGACGACGAAGCCGACGAAACGACGACCAGTTCCTCGAGAACGACGCCGCAGCTTCAGCGCTGGCCCGGCGGTCAGAGGATCGACTCGGCCAGTTGCGCCGAGCTGCGTGCGCTGCCCTGCAGCAGCAGCAGCAGCAACAGCTTGTCCGAGAGCAATTGCTTTTTGTTCGACGCGAGACTGCAGCCGAAATTGTGCAGGACGCGGAGCGAGCCGCACGTCGGCGACGGCAGACTCGACGTCGAAGTCATCCAGAACATTACGTTCAAGGATAGCTTTAGCTTAGAGGAGACCTGCCGAGACTGCGAGATCGAAATGATGGAGGACTCGCGCTGCAGTCGGATGAGCGATCAGAGTCGTTGATTTCTCAGCTCGCCATTCATTCATTATCTTATTATTTTTTTCTTCTTCTGATTCAGAAGAATTTAATTTGCCGGATTGACTTTAAATTACATTTACGGATCGAACTGCCATATGACGAGATAAATCTCGGAGTACTATAAATTAAAATAATAATTACTTGTAAACTATATTTTAAGTTTTCTCGACGCGCGAAAGTTACTTTGAATGAAATTCAATTGAAATGAAATTGTTTTGTCCACAAACAAGTGTGCAAGCGTTTTGAGGTATATGAACAAGTGTCTATAAAGTAATTCTACTGCTTTTTACTTTCGAAATATAATAATTGTGATTTCTTTTATATACGGCTGTGTTCACTTTGTGGAATTCTGAGACGAAAGCAAAAAATCGTATACATTATATATAGTAAAAAATGTTAAGATATTTAAAGTATACATGCGAAAATACAGTAATTTTTTCTAAAAAAAATATAACGTCTTTTTGAGTCATTTATCGAAACCTAGGACACTCACAAATTTTTATTTTCAAAAGCATGAATTTCTTTGCCATAGTCGATAACTGTCAAATTTCTTTGATTTAGATTGGTAAAATTTGTTCGATAAATGTAAAGATCTAAAAGACGTGAATTTTTGTCGCTACAAAAATTAATCGATTTTCATCAAAAAAGCGAAAACTATGAATCTCTAACGAGGCCTTGAAAAAAAACCTTGATTTTTAGGCGGAGATGGCACTGCGCTCGGAGGGTTTCGTTGAGATAGACATACACACGCTGCAATCCGTTCTATCGCGGGAGACTCTCAATTGCAAAGAGATACATTTGTGGAACGCAGCCTTGAAGTGGGCTCACGCAGAGTGCCTCAGACAAGATATCGAGCCAACGCCGAGTAATCAGCGATTACTGCTCGGTCAGTATGCGATGCGGAAATTAAAATCTCTCGCGCTAACGTGCGCGTAACTCCATGATGAATCTACTCTACATTTTGTCTTTCTCTCTCTCTCTCTTTCTTCCTCTTGACAGGATCTGCTTTGAACCTGATAAGATTGCCGGCCATGAGCTTGGAAGAATTCGCCAATAGCGCTGCCCAAACGGGCATCCTCACCCAACAAGAGACCATCGATATTTTTCTTCACTTTATCGCCAGCAACAAGCCAGCGCTGTGCTATCCTACCAAGCCTCGTCAAGGATTGAAGACTCAAGTAAGTGTCATTGACATATGCGCTGCGTAACGAGCAGCTCGATACAACTTATATAGCAGAGGAGCGACGACAAGTCGCGGCGCTTGATTGAATCAATCAAACGCATGCCTCAATTAAAGCCCATCAGCGTCAATAAAGAAGCCCCCTTCTCGCTCTTTTTTTAACAGGTGTGCCATAGATTCCAGTCGTGCGCCTATCGCACGAACCAGTGGCGCTATCGCGGCCGCTGCGACTCGATCCAGTTCAGCGTCGACAAGCGGATATTCGTCGTCGGCTTCGGCCTGTACGGCAGCTCGTCCGGCGCGGCCGACTACAACGTCCGGATCGAGCTCAAGCGGCTCGGTCGCGTACTGTCCGAGAACAACACCAAGTTCTTCTCGGACGGCTCGAGCAACACGTTCCACGTCTACTTCGAGAATCCCATTCAGATCGAGCCGGAGAACTTTTACACGGCGAGCGCCATACTGGACGGGGGCGAGCTCAGCTACTTCGGCCAGGAGGGCATGTCCGAGGCGACCGTGGGCAGCGTGACCTTTCAGTTTCAGTGCAGCTCCGAGAGCACCAACGGCACCGGCGTCCAGGGCGGACAGATACCGGAGCTCATATTTTACGGCCCACCGTCGGAAGATTGACGCTATTACCAACAGAACGCCGAGATCATGGTCTGACCGCTACCGAGCATTCCATCGACCCTGAGCTTATACGTTTCAGAACACGCTTCTTACGGATCGAATGCTAGTTATCCCGATGTGTAATTAAATCTCATGCCCATTAGCGAATTTATCTTTCGGCTTGTTTTCAATTGTTTTGGTCTTTGATCGTTATTAATCGTGAGCTCAGTGAAGCAAATGATAATTGGAACAAAAATGCATTATTCGTGCAGATAAAATAAAAAAAAAAATTGAAAAACAACTTCGGTAAAAGCATAAAATAGCAATTGTTACAAATGTAAATTATATAAAGGGTGTTGTTCGATTCTGAGATTTTCGAGTTACACTATATATAAATGTGTCTCGCGCGTGATGCAACTTTTAATGAAATTCATTCAATGACTAGTAATTTTTATTTGCAATGCAAATGTGCAATTTCATGATCAAGTTGAGCATTGTAGATTGTATAAATCAATGATGAGCGTGCGATGTGTTTTATACGTAAGACTAACGTCATGAGTCAATGCAGGATTAGATGTATTATAATAGGATTCGTAGTTGTATGCTGAGAGTGAACTTTTATGAGTTTTGGAAGCAATTCATTGTTGAAAGAATATGTTTATTTCACTGCCTAATTTTAAATGATTTAGATTTACACGCCATGAGACGTTCAATTTCTTTCAATGATAATTCCTGCGATCTCTGACTGTATTTGTTAAATATTTTCCTTCAAAATCTTATGCAAATTAGTAGAGGCTCTGGTTAAACGTGTTGTACTTTGAAATCTTTACTATTAGTAGTATTCAAAACTGTGTATTATTCTATTAACACGTACTTAATAATTTAATTGTTAAATCAGGCTTTTAAATCCAGTATCAAATTTTACTAAGTTAAAAATGATAGAGTTTTAGAATTTATTTATCAAAATCGAATAAGCAATATATATTGTTATAAAATTGAAAAAGTTGTCCTTAATCAGAAGATATTTGATTTACTATTTGAGCCAAAAATTATTTTATATTTTCAAATTATAATTAATTTAATTCATGTCAAAAATTACCAATTATTTGATACTCTAACTGATTTATAACTGCTAAATCTTGTTATGGTTTTAACATGATAAAAGCACTTATTATAAGCTCTTGATGATGTAGAATTTTTAGATAATATCATATTTTAAGAATATATGCTCTATACTCTTTGAAAATACATCGTATTTTTTTCTAAAAATGTTTTCATTTCTACATTAAAAATGAAAATCGAAATTTTTAAATCAAAGTAGAGATCTATAAACATTCAAAATATGTATCATAGTACAAAAGTGCTTTTAGATGTAAAAAAAAATGTGTAAATGCTCAATATATAAGCAAATGCACTATTTAAAACAATTTTTGTGTTTTATTAAGGCCTTTTTTGTATTTTAAAATAGATAACAATAATAATTTATAAATATTTTTCTAACTTACTAATTGGTGGCAGTTTGAGACATAACTTACCCATTGATGGCAGATTTTGACATAATTCTTTTGCGAACTTCATATATGTTCTTCCTAATTCATGAACGCAGACCCCCACAACATCACTAAGGTCAATCAGCAACACTGCAGACATTTTATAGTTGGTAGTGAAATAAAATGGTTGAGATTTTCAATAGATGAATTATACTCACACTCTGATTTTTCATGTCTTAATGCTATATAAATACACGCAGCATGATTGATTTGTTGCTTCCTTCCCCTTGTCAAGTTTTTTTGTAGAACCATTCTGTAATAGTTGACTGCTGAATCAATAATACTCGGTTGTAGCCTAAGATAAAGATAAAGTCATGATTAAGATTACTTGTAACTGAAATTCAAAAGCTTTCAAATCTATGGTATTACTAACTGTAATTTTTGACAAATTCGTGTGATTCCTCTTTTTGCGTTTAGTAAAGTTATTTCTTTGGATTCTTTTCCACCCATCATTAGCCCTAAAAATTAATAAAAATTTTAACTATTATTGGTGAATCTCATTTAAATCTATAAAATTAATTATAATAAAATAAAAATCAAATCAGTATAATAAAAAATCATTTTACCTGCATTGAAACTACTAGCAGCACCAGTACTATCACTTGATACAAATGTGCCACTAGCCATGATGTGCCCCGATGGACTCTCGTCAAATGTCATTTCGTTAACAATGACTTGGTCCTCCAGGACCACACCACATCCCGTACAAACAGTGTGGGCTCCTGTTTCAATATCTGTGCTACCGCACGACGTGCATTTTAGGGTTGACATCTAATGTTCATAAATCATAAATAAAATAAAAGATTATTATGTGGTTGAAAAATAGTCAAAAACAAAATAAATGCAAGATGCAACCAACTAAGAAATTACATGGACATGGAAAAAATGCTCAAAAATCACCGCAGTGAATTCAATTTTGTTTTTTTCTAACGGTATCATCCATAAATTTAATATATTTCATCAAAATCGTACTTACAGTAAGTTTTGAAATATTAAGCTATGGTGATTCAACAATAAAAAAACTCAAGTGTGATTACAGTTAGAAACTAATAAAAGTGTGCAACAATTAATCTTTTTTTTCATCGATTTTATTTTGTTACGAGCTTTGAGGAATTCATAGACTATTTTTTTCAATTTTATCAAATAAGGTATTTTATGTGTATTTATATGCACACATGTATGGGCATTCTAACCTTGTTGTAACAAAAAGTAATAACGCTAATACAAACCTTGACTCTTTTTTCCAAGACTTGTGCACAAATAAAATTTATACTCCACAGTACTTTCCTTAGGGTTGTAACAGCCCGTATTATTGCATCACACAAAAAAACAAAATTTTCGTATAATATTCATTCGTATATGTATTCCTTCGACTCTACCGATTCGTAGTTGAATTCTTAGATACTAGAGGCGTTTGTGTATGATCAACAGTACCGCTAACGACATTTGCTACAGTAGCCCTGTGGGTAGAAGCTTTGTCCTTTACTACAAAGATCGGGGTTCGATTCCCGCCTTATTCAGAAAATTGAAACAATGATCCATTTACAGCATATCGTTGATAAATATCATTCTCAACCATCATGTTCAGGCTCTAGCTTTGCTGTGACTGGAAAAATTTTACTTGCGACCAGTTTTTTTACGTGTTTCTTATCTAATGCTGTTATCAATTTACTATAACTTTTACAATTTTGTTCACGGTTTTTTTGAGTGAATTATTCTAAATTGTAGGTGACTTAAACTTTCAATTTTATAAAAAAAATAAACAGTATTTATGCTCCTTACGAGATCTCGGATATTTAAATAAAAATCGTATTTCCTATGTCAGATAGCCCGTACAATGCAGATTTGAATGTCAGGTCTAAATATTGTTCGAATAAATTAAAAAAATTAATGTATTTTGATCCGATAACAATTATTTCAAGTAAACCAATTAACGAAACCAAAAATGAATCTTATTCAAAAAAACTCGAAAATGGCCAACTTCAACAACTAAGAATGTCGAACGTACCATTGCTTTTACAAATTCCCGCTAATTTTGAAGCATTTTAATTACTTTGAAAAATATTAATTATTATTGCCAATTTCTCATTAATAATTTTTCAAAAGATGAATATTAACAATAATTATTAATGATTTCTCAAAATCATCATCAAATTGTTTAAAACTCAGCAGGACTTTATGATGAAATGTTTTAAGTATAATCCAACGATATAGCATCATTGAAAATTTCATTTGACAGTTGAAAAATGCAAGTCATAACATTACTAAACTGTTAAAATTGATACTTACAATCATCAAATAGAAATTTAGTCTGTGGAAACTTTCTCGTAATTAATAATAATATTTCATAAACATCGAGTTCTTTAACTAGAAAATCATTTCTTGATTATTTAAGAATTTTAAGCATTCTTTTGGTACTCATACTAACAAAAAGAGAGAAATGAAGCATTGCAAATATGATAATTTATTTTCGATGGTTTACTCACTTTTGTTTTAATATTTTATTATTTAATATCAATAATTTATACATATATAGACTTTAATGATTTTTACCTTATTAATACTATGTACAACAGGCATTTATTTTACTTAAAACAATATCAAATAAGGGATGATTGAGTTTTTTAATTGTCTAAAAATATTTTATTACATGATTACAGCGAATAAATTTCATCCAGAAATTCCGAAGCGAATCGAAATATATATAAACTATTTCGGAGTCGAATGCGCCAAATTGATTTATTTTTCGTACATAAATCAAATTTAAAAACTTATTCTAATAAATAAGCTGAAATAAATTATATAAATTTACAGTTTTGTTTCACTTGAATGAATCCAACTGACTGTTTGATACTATCGACTGTATTACGTGCTAAGATTCAGAAAGTATATCCTCCAAAGTTTTATCGTCATGATGCAAAGGTGAATGACCTAACGTTGGATCACTTTCCAACAATTCGCGCAATTCTGATTCTAAATCATTAACACCAGAATTTTCTGCAGAGTTTAAAAGTGATGCATTTTGATTTTGTCCTAATACCATTTGCATAGGTATTTGTGCCTGCCTGACGTTACCCAGGTCTAGAGACATTTGCATGGGTAAAATATTATTCCCTTGATTCGTAGCCTCTTGCAATATAGAGTTTTCAGTTACAATAGATGGATTATGTGTAATTGGTTCGACATCCATTGGTTCAGGCCCACCAATCGGCGCAATACCCATAGCTTTTCTTAATCCATCAATAGGAGCAATTGCAGATGGTGGCAATTTTTTAGCAATGTCGGTCAAGTTTTCAGTAATTTTTTCTGCCAATGAAGTTTCTGATTCAGAGGCTTTTTGAATGTTTGCGTAATGTGACGGAAGCGGCGCCGAAAGACGGTTGTGCTGCGTTGTTCGAAGATCATTCAGTAAATTTGATGTGGTGTCAAGTCGATTTTGTAGTAGTCCACATTCTTCTTCAGTTTTCAATTCCTCTCCTACAAGAAAATTATATCAAATATATAAGTAAATTTTTACAATTTTGAATCATACAAAATTCTATACTTATCTAAATCTACATACCCAAATTCTCCAAGAAGTTAGTATCAATGCCAATATCTGATAATGTTTTTAGTTGGCCAACATCAATTTGAACCTTATTAATTGGTGGAATGTTTCTATTAATGTCTTGGACAGGTTTTTCCAGGAGATTTTTGATTTTTTCTTCCTCCTCTTTAAGTTTACGTCTTTCATCAAGGAATTTCTTAGTTTTTCTGTGGTCTCCAGTTGTAAAGATATCCAACATATCATCAACCATATTCAATGAAAAATCACAGTCTTTGGCAAAATCTAACATGGATTCAGCATACTGCACAGCAGTTTCATCACCATACGTTTTATAAACTAAATCGGATTCCTCTTTAGTCAAGTTAGCAAAAGTTGAATCATAGCTTGGAGCATGTGAACCAAATGCTCCATAATATAGTGGCTTTATTGGTTTGGATAAATTTCGTCTGTCTTCCCTATAACCTTGCAGAGAACCAGTTCCATGGTTTATCTTTCCAATAAGTTGACCTAATGATACAGGTCTCTGATTAGTGCCTGGAATAACACCATCTCCAGGAACGATAATTTGTAAACTTGTAGTTCCATCTTTTTTCTGACGTAAGAACCCCATTTTAGAGCCAGCACGTTTCATGCTTAATTTATCAGCAGCATTCTTAGCTGCACCTTGAGCTTGACTCAATATCTCCTCAGGAGATAAATCATCTGGTATAGCTTCAAATTTGGAAAGACTAGCTAATGTCATTTTTCGATGATTTTCCTTTCTCAACTCTGCAGCTTCTTCCATCTGTTCTTCTTGTTCTCTTTCTTTTTCAATTTGTTCTTCAGTAACTTGAGGCTGATCTTGAGCAATAACTTCTGTTCCTAATTCAAATCCAAGCTCTTCTGTAGTCAAGTCTTGCATATAAATCAATACTGATCTAAGAGGTTTTAACTTTTCTGGAGTAACCATTTTTAAACCAGTGTGCAATAATTTTTTAGCAGTTTTATAATAAATAGTATCTTGATGATTATAAGTCATTGCATTGTTACACATTGTTTTAAAATCACTAACAAAATCATTTAAACACTGATAATTATTATCATCTATCTTTTGTTTAATTGTACTGAAATCCATAGGATTTGTGATAATAGTTGAGTAACCAGGAGCAATATTATCTGTGACAGGCCAAGCAAAAAATTGCTGAGGATCACGTTTTTCCATAGATCTCAACAAATGTTCTAAAAGCCTCTGAAGTGGTGTCTTTTCAGCAATCTTCCTAAGAACACAAGTTCTGGGTTCTCTGTGAGGAGAAACATTACTTGATGTAGCATTTGCTCCTTTACCTTCAGTAACAGAAGGTGCAACTGGTCTTTGCTGGGAACCAAAAGCGTGTTTTTTAGGGGTTTCAGAAATAGCCTCATCACCATTGCATGTGTCTAATCCAGCTTCATCCCTTTTCCTCTTCTTATCCTTGTGATGATGTTTGTGCCGTTTATCCTTCTTCTTTTTCTTCTTTTTCATTTTCTTGTGACCCATATAATCATCAAACTCCTGCTCCCCTGGTTGCACTGAATAATTGTAACCCATTCTCTGTTGATAGTTTTGTGACAGCATGTTTGCTTGATCAGGCGTTTTTGACTCGATATATTCCTGAGTCTGAGTATTATTGCCTACTTTCAATACTAACTTGAGAACTTTTGGCTGGCCCTCTGCAGAGAAAGAACTGTCAGCTGTAACAACAACAAAAAGAACAAGCTTGTTAATACATATATATGCTAAATCATCGAGATTGTGTCAATAAAGTGGCACGCACACATCAATTGGCAGATATAACTATTGCTTTCAACAATAACGGTACCCTCCACAGGAGAGCGATATACACTCGAACGGAGCAAGCTTACAACATAACCTACAAAAGTCGAGACGATTTCGAATGCGGAGCGAAGGCGTCTTTTCGTCTAAATTTAGAATTCACAAAAGTCGCCTCGGAGAGAGCCTATCGCGGTAGCCGGTACTCCCTAAAACATACTTTAATAAGCCTGCCCGTGACCTACGCGGCCGACACATAAGCGAATTCGCGAAAAATTATGCATCTATGTATACGAGGAGCGAGAGATAAGATGGGAAGTATCGGAGGCGTCGCGTTATAGCGAAGATTGAAAGTATACCTGCTGTGCGCTGTATACTCTTATGCAAGTCCGAGAGTGTGGAGAGAGAAAGAGAGAGAGAGAGAGAGAGAGAGAGAGCCCTAAAATTGCAGGCGTTCAATGGTGTAAAAAAGATATAAGGAACAGGAAAGGAAGGAAGAGTATTGGACACGACTCGCGAAAGGGCTGGCAGGCGCATACGGGCAATTTTTCACGCGTATGCGCCTCTATCTATATGGATAAACTGACAGTAGTCGCAAGTCGGAGCGAGCGAAAAAAAACAACAACATTAGGAGCACCGAGAGAAGCGAGAGAAAAGAAACTGGTTTATGCATGGTTTACCTTCGAGATGTTCACGCTTGTGCCTCTTATGTCTCTTCGTCTCCATCATATTTGGGATATAATCGATATAGCGTAATATAGCCAGGAGTGAAAAAGATCAGCTGCTCTCGCGCGAACCTCGATCGAAATGTTATTGCGCGATCGTAACAATGCACTCACATATAAATATACTCATGTATATAAAATAAAGTCAAATCGCGAGGCACAGACGACACGACAGCCTAAGGCTATGTTTTATACAGAAAAGTTGCTGCTGTTGCTGCTACCAGCAGCTATAGAGCGATTCGCGAGCACTAACAAACACGAAGGCTCCGCACACACTCACTGCTGCTGCTGCTGCTGCTGCTCGTCAGTCAGTAATTACATTTGTACACAGTTGTAAAAGCGAAGTAATAAAAGTATTTTTATATGTGCACGCAATGAAACGTCACACAACACACACACGCGCGCGCGCAATTCTTGATTCGGACTCTTTTTTTTTCTTCTCGTCTGGCAGATTTCTAGCTCCGTCTCCGTTTTTTCACGTCGATCGTGCAGCAGTGGCTCGAGCGCGCACGCAGTCACCAAGTGTGTGTGTGTGCGTGCGTGCGTGCGCGACGAAACGAGACAGAGAGACGATAAACGACGTCAAGTGTATATTATGAATGTATATCTAATGCGCGCGTATATACGCGGCAGAGTGCATAGCACAGAGTCAACAGTGGCACGGAGCAGTGTGCAGAGCAGAGCAAAAGCACAGCGAACGCGCACTACACACGATCGACTCTACTTCCAAGCTATACGCTGCTGCTGCTGCGCGAATATAGTAGATACATATACGCGCCTGCTGCTCTCCTCGGGGCACTCGGAAGAACGGCTTATGCGCCAGTCACCGAATAGAAAAAGAGAGAGAGAGAGAGAGAGAGAGAGAGAGAGATGAAAAAGAGAAAGAACTGTCGACGAGTATCATGGCCTATATACATGCTGCCTGCTGCTCCGTTCCTTGGCTATATATGTCTACATGTACACGCTCGCACACACATTCGCACCCGCGATACATTCGCGATATGTACGCTCTCTATCTCGCTCTAGCACGCGCGAAACGACTGTGTGTACATGTAGTATACGTACATAACGTGACGGCCATCGTGTTTTGGGGCGATGTCAACGTCATATAGCAACAACTCGAAATCTTTGCCTTTAATACATGCATGCGCGCGACTGGCGTTTCAGACTGCGTGTATAATCATGCGACTGTGTGCGTGCGTAAGTGCGTGTACTGCTCCGTTCTTATACCATCTGTTATAAGCCCCCCTCCTCCTCCTACCATATACATTGCGTACGAATGTACTATATATATGCGTATGAAATGTATACATGTATGCTGCTGCAGAAGTGCCAGCAACAGCAGCAGCAGTGACGCGAGCATTCGACCGAGCGCAAAGCTGCATCTCTATAGAGAGAGAACGAAACGCGAGTACGGGAGTTTTTTAAATTTTCGTCGCGTTCTGCGTGTGTTTATAAAGTTTGACAGAGAGATACGCACGCAGGCGGGCACGCGCGCGCGTAAGCATTTATACGCTGTATATAGTGGAGTCTCGACTCTCGAATTTCGATACATTTTTTAAATGCCCGAGCGTGTTTCGGTGTAAACACGAGGATTTTGATGTATGCGTGATGATTCGCTCCTTTATATAAGTGCCTGCCGCTAGGAGGCGAGTAGAGAGCAGGATGCTCTGAATTTTTTTAATTCTTCTACTCGAGACTATGGGTGATTTTTGAAGCGTTAAAAAGTTTTCGTTGTCATACGTTTCGAAATGTAAAGTCAAGCTGAATAATTCGTGACCAGTCGATAGAAAAGTGCCATAAACTTGGACGTTTTGGCATTAACTTTTTTTTACGGTTTTCCGAACTAGAATAACAAATTACGTATCGATGATAACGTCGTAGCCAGCTCGTAAAGTACAAATTTTGAAGTTTTTTCTTTAAATGAATAAATTAATCTCACGTATTTATTTATCTTTATACGTATATTATTGCTATTTTTCATTTATCTTGGAGCAAACACGGAGAGTAAAAACAAACTCGTGAAATATTTCAGGCCTATTGTAGTACTAAGACTGTTGTCGAGCTACGTTTTTTTTATCCTCGTAAACTTTTGCGAGACTAATCTCAGACGTCACAAATGCGACATATTGAAAATGAAATGGTCTTTACATTTTTCGTGACTAAAATAAGTAATAGTCAAAAAACAGTTCAGATCAAGAAGATCAAAGGGCTTCGTCGATAAAGTATCGACTAATTAGTTTACGAGACACTCGATCGCTAAACAGACCTCAGACAATAATTAATGTACATGAGAGCCGCAAACGCCATTTAAAAAATACCAACTAGCTAGTGGCTTTTTGTGTGCATGTGTGTTTATTCGTGACTCTATTCTGCCACACAGTTTAGTACGTGTTCAACACACACACACACACACACACACACACACACCAGAATACCCATACAAACTCGGCTCAGTCTGCTTCACACACACGTCAAACATACACAGACGCAGCAGCCACCCACGCATAGCGTACCTGAAAGCTATAAAAGCTCCATGTATCCACCCTCTTGTATATCAATCTCGTCGAGGCGAGGACATCAAAGGATTTCTTCGTTTTGGTATCTCTTGCTCTTGCGATCGAATAATATCATACTTTCGGCGAGGTCGAGCTAAGGCGAAGAGTCGCGACGAGTGAAAAACTTTTCCCGACAGCCGACATTGCGAAAGATGGAGAGCAGCCGCCGCGGCGTTGTTGTATAGTGTATATGAGCGCAAAGCACACTGGGCTCTGCGAATCCACCTACGCTTTTGCGCGCAGCTGCCGGCGGCGGCTACTGCGATACGTGTATATATAGTTATGTATATAGTGCAGCCCGACGACGACGAGCCTAGTGGCAAAGAGGAAGAGACGTCGACGTCGCTTTTGTGCGCATACGCATTAGGCGCACTCTCCTCTTTGCCGAGAAGCTACGAAAATCGACCGCAGAAAATGCCGGCTTATGTTTGTCCGCTTCTCTGTATGGCTGCAAAACTACATTTACCCCGCGCGTCGGTATGAATATTCGCTAAAAAACTCTTTGCTTCGAGCACGAAAAACTAGCCGCAAGCTTGTTAAACTTTCGACTTCCTACTGTACGAGTACTGTGGTCTGTGACGCGTTCGCAGCACCTGTGCACCCGCATGCAGGTACAAAAGAAAATGTGTGCATTTACAGGGCTTACTACCGTCGATCTTGCCTCTAATATTTTTTTCTCCATCGCCACCTAAGAAATTTTCAAAAAACTTTGCTAAATACGATCGAACCGAAATTGCAACTCTCAAGAAGACCCAATAAAGCTCTCTATCTCGTTCAGTAGATTACAGTAACAGAAAACGTTCGACATTTTGTATGAAAAATTGCCTTATTTGCATAAACACTATCTCAGTTACATCGGCTGCTGCAGTTTGCATACATACATCGAACTTCAAATTAGCCGTATTGATCAATCGGTCTTGCAGGGTCACTTTTCGGTCGTGCGGTTGTGTGCACGCCGAGCAACTTCAGCCCTGCACAGGCTCGAGTCTACATAGAAGAAAAGCTCAGTCGAGTGTAAACCGTAAGTATTTGCAAAGGGGCGACACGGCCTCTCGATTCGTCGTTATCTGCTCGGAATTATCTCTCGATATACAGCTGCCGAGCGCAGTCGGCAGCGTCCACAGCTACGCTGTACAATACTTGCTCCTTCGTTCGACTGCATTGATAGTATGTTATCGTTGATTTGATTTAAAAAATCCATGTGTTTCCGGGATTACAGGAAACAACGAATTCCGATACACGAACCCAAGTCAGTTTTTTTTTCTTCCGTTGCGTTCTGTGTTTTCTCGAGTTCTTGTAGGTGAAGCCTGCAGCTGTATCGAACTTCAATGTATAGGCGCGCGATATCCTACCCGAGATCCGAAGATAATTTTTCAGTAAAAAACAAAGACTCCGTTTCCGAAATGAAAAAAGGCTCTTGTTTACCAAGCCGAATGAATTACACCGTTCTCAAAAGTTAGCCCAATGATGGACTCGATGCAGCCGACACTCGTCAGCGTGGATAATTACACTGCGGCTAACATTCCAATCTATCGTCGAGTCGTTTGAAACAAAGAGCCATCGCTCGAGCAAAGGGCACCAAAACCCAAGCAGACATCAAAATGCCTATGCCTACAAACTGACACGGCGAGCGTCACACGGCTTCCTAAGTCGAAAATTTTAAAAGAACTCGCTTGTCACTTGGTCGTAAAAAAAAGAGGAGCAACGAAAATAATACACAAGCGACTAACCTGTTCTCGTGTACGAGGCAACGTTGTTATGTATAGTAGCGTCCTTTATTCCCTCACGTCGGAGACTGAAAATGAGCGGACAGAGAGAAACTACGAGGCAGCCAAGGGCGATGACTCAGAGAGAGAGAGAGCGAGAGAGAGAGAGAAAGAGCGACCGAGATACGGAGTGCGTATGTGTGTGTGCGTGTGTGTTTGTGTGCGTACAAGTCTACCTCGTATCGGCGCGCGAATGTGTGCGTGCAGCATAGCAGCGCGAAGGGCCGCGCCACTATACACCACTCACAAGCCGCAGCAACACATTGAAGGCCGCGCGCTCGAGCCAGAGCCTCGGTTAACATACACACACTATACCTATATATACTTGACTATACATACATAACCGGCGGTAAAAAGGGGTGATCAGCTGGTTCTTTTCCGAGGCTCGTTGATACACATATAGGTATGTATCATACACAATGCATAAAATTGCGCGCGATGCAATTTCTTCGCGAGACCAAGCAGTTTGGCGTTGCGAAATTAACTTTTTTAAGTTCCAATTCCTTTCTTTCAAAATTGTCAACGGAAGTCATTTTATTTTTCAAGGGTTGAAGATGGATAAATGTCTACAGCGTTACTCGGTTCGAGGCACTGTCGTTGAGAATGAACTTCTCGAACCAAGGTGAGTAAATTAATAACGAAAAAAGAAGAATAACGCAAAATCTTACCATTGGCAACTGACGGACAGTTTGAATTCGAGTTCGATTCGCTCCACACTTTGCACTTCTTCTGCGTGCCACTCTCGATAAGAAACGTTCGTTTTTTTTTCTCTCTCTTCCTTACAAACTTTCGTGGAGATTTTTCAACTGTCGCGCGCACTTACACGAACGAATCGAGAAAAGTGAAAGGTATATTTCGAGTCCAGCAGTAACAGCAGCGAGCGAGACGCGGACGCGACCCTATTCGTTTCAAAGTCTCACATTCACTGACGTCTGTTCGGAGCCGGCCAAGAGATGGAAAATTAAATTACGACTGGTGTATAGTATATATTGCGTGTCGGCAGACGAACACACGGCGGACGGCGCATAAAGTGGATGGATCATGGATACCTATGAGAGCCATGCCGCGCGCATTTTAGAGTCGCAGGCAGCGGCCATCCACGTTTTGACGACGAAGTAGTAGGGACGAAGGTAGGGAGAGACAAAAAGCAAGGTATATATCGGAGACGAATCGAGACCGGCTGTATTTTCTCTGGCCAATGTCATGCGAGTATTACGAGTGCCCGAGTCGTTTTATGTATGTGTGTGGGTATGCACGAGTGTTGTCGAGTATATTATGCGTTACATCGCCGTGTTTTTGCTACAACAAAGGAAAGCCTTCAGTTTTTTTGGATCACACACATTACCACATACAGCAAGAGAGAGAGAGAGAGAGAGAGAGAGAGAAGGAGCAAAATTTATGGACATTTTTTTTTCAGGCTCTTGTCACTTTTGCTTTCATATTCATATTCGTCATTGTCTGTATACCGTGGTGACATCGTGGATACGTTGTATACATTCACATCAACGTACACAACGTAGTCGTATTGATTCG